AGGGAATGATTCCCTTGTTGTAAAATTACAATGTATTCCTTGTAAAATAGTTATTGAATTAATATTGGAATAAAATTAAGGGAATGAATTAATGGACTATATATCATTATGGTTGCATCTGATACAAATTCAGGCCTTGATCAGAATCCTGTAGTCTAACCTAAAATTGCAGAACTGTGACTCTCTATCTTCCAATAATTAGAACATCAGCTTCAGTTCAAAGCTCTCTGCTTTTGAGCATCAGGGCTGCTTGGCAAAACTTCTAACAGCAAGGGTAAGGCAACTCTTTGCTGGTTTTATCATTCAGTAAGAAAATATGGGGATGGTTCATTATGGCTGAAATATTATTTGCTTTCCCTAAATATTTCATAATATAAAACTCATATTTTATTGTTCAATTTACTTTAGAATTTTCTTATTTATATCAAAAGTTTTACATATTACTTGGCATTCAGCTCCTCTTCCTTGGCAAGAGCCAAGTTTTTTCCTTAGGGATTGTTTTAGGGAAAATTGTTTCTAGAGATAACTTCATTTGAATTTGTACTGAATATTCTAATTAACCCACATTGACCTTACTGTCTCTTTCATTTAAAACAGTGATGATGTAAAAGTCATATACTGTGTCTGCACACAGTAATGAAGAATTATTTTTCTGATAAGAAAACCCAAGTGATATCTCAAGAGTTAAACTCCCACCAAAGGTAGGGTATGCCTTCAGTTTGTATCTAATTCTCTACGTATGATGTTTTCTTGTCGTATGCACCATTGCTTTTAATGACTTGTGAAAGGTCTCAATTTCCTGGAATGAGATTGGGAAGATATGGAGATCTGCATTTAATTAGGAAAGAAGTGTTTTAGGAATATGCTATTTGAATAACGGAAAGATTTAAATTTAAGCAGAACTCTTCAAACTTTTAGTCATTCAAATAACTTATTTCTAAGACCAGTTCTTTCCTAATTTAAAGGAAGAGAAATCTCTACCATTGACTTTTTTTGCAAAGTTAATTCCTTGCATTTTCCTTGTTAGTTACAGGGCTCAATAGCTAGGCACATGAGTGTTATCATAATTTCTCAATCACAGTAAAGTACTTATGGTTGCTTCACCATAATTGACTGAGAAGAGAAGCATTTAAATAATGAATTTTAGTGTTACTAAATTTTTTGTTTGTTTATTTGTGCCACTAAATAATGAACTTGTCCAGGTTAATTTCCACTAATTAGGTCAATTTTTATATAGTCATGCAAATGCAGAATCTTTGTTTTTCTATGAAGAAATTTTTTCAGCAGGTGAGAATATTCAACTCCCTTTTTACAGCAAATATTGACATTATGTTTAAGCACCTTTATATTTTTGGCACTTGCTTTGAATACTTTTATCCTTTTCTGAAAGAGTGAAATAATGAGTAGCCTGTGTGGAAAAAATGAAAACGGTAGCCACTAACAACTATTTCTAGATCCATGGATAAGTCATTCATTTTCCTGTGTTTTATGATCACACATAGATGCATGAAGTATCTACAGCAATCCTCAATAAAAGAAGCACTGATTTTTTTTGACCAGTGACAAAGCTCAAGATGTGAATTCTTGAAACCACTGACAGGGATATTCATTGGAAATTCCTGTGATATGTTTAAAAATGGCTAATGTCTTATTTATGATATATTTTCATTGGAGGAATTCTAATTGAGAAAATTAAGCTAGTAAAACACAGACATTAATCAGAGTATACAAAGTATATTTGGCTTTAGATTATAGTCTGCTGGGCATTTATTTTTCTTTTTGCCATTAAGTAGAGAAACATGTTCCATGTTACATCTATAATAAATAAACCAATAGATTTATCATCTTAATTTATAGGATATAATATTTTACATGATATGGTAATGAATATGTAGAATTACTTTTAGATATATTTGACTAAAGAATTAAAAATTGCATATCATGTCAAGTGTGTTAGAGTGTAAAGGAATCAATGACTATTATGTTCTCCAAGCATGATACAGATTTTTGTATGTAAATCTAAAAATTATGTCAGCAAACATAATAGTCTGTGCATGTAAAGAAACCCACGATCCAGAAAGTAACTTGTGTACTATCATTAAAATACATTTATAAATCTGTATTCATTAAGTACTTTGGAGGATTGTTTTTGTGTTATGTAATTTTATCTTTTGAAAATGTCATGTTGTGAAGAAATTGAGTTAAATGTCTTTTCATTAGAAAAGTGTTAACTTAGTGGTTTAATAGTCTATTATGCTATCTTCCAGTTTTGTAAGGTATTAAATCTCTGATCACTTAAACTGTAGGGGATAGTTTACATATCCTATTTTTTTTTCAAGTAAACTGTGAAACTGCCCAATAGAAGATTTAGCTTGATGAAATTTATCACTGATGATTACATGAGAAAAAGAACTAATACTTGCAGCAAGTAAGGTGTGAGGAAAAAGAGAACGGGATGTAGACTACATTATACTCTTGTGTCCTTCAGCAGGTGTCTTTATTAGTCTACAGCGTCAAAAATGACAGAACTCGGGAATCAGCTGGAAGAGAGAGTGTGAATGACACATAGGCTGTTCATCACGGCGGGCTTCTAGTGATGGCATTCTGCCTGCATGCGTGCTCCTCCACTGCCAGATGTATGTAAACAGCGTCATCTTGTCTAGATATAAAGCTTAGTCATTCTGTAGGTTTCTTCAGCAGCGAATAATCAGAAAGTTGGGTTTGTATCTCTGCTTGTCCTATTGTTCTTTTTTCTTTAAGTTTGTCTCTAACCATCAGATCTATAGACAAAGAGAAACCAATAATTTTTTCTTTTTGAAATTTCTTTTATTTAATTATTTTTACTAGGATTTGGTTTGCATCAATTTTTATGGCTACTCCAAAAAGCCTCCTGAGTCAACCCAGGAAACCAAAGGAGGTTGTGCTTCCAGTGTTCCCTCATTAAAAGAAATCTTTTGAAGAAGAATTTTAAAAGAATACTAGCCTCACTTAATTATCACATTAATCTTATTACTTGTAGATATTCATTTATTAACTATAATTTATCTTATTTGATTCTTCTTTTCTTTCATCTTCAATATGTAGCCATATCTGTGCTGATAGATCCAATTTTTTCTATAATTCTGCTTACTTCTCAAGATACATCACATCACAGTTAAATTATTACTTCTATATAATTGAATCAATGATTCCTAAGACATGTAATTTTATTGTATGTATGTATGCCTCTCAAGGAGTTCATGAGGTGCAGTTGTCTTACTCATTTCATCCTGGACTGTGTCTGTAAATCTTACCAAGTTGACAAAGATCTGAATTATTTGTTCTGATCCAGTGTTCACAATGAAGCGTTCAAGATCACTAGTAATAGCTATCAGATACTGAGACTTTTATCAGGTGCCAGCCACTGTTCTAGACACTTTACTTTGTTGCAATAAAATAACAGCTGTAAGAGGTAAGAACTCTTGGTATCTCCATTCTAAAAATGATGAAAGTGAAGCACAAAGAGCTTCAGTAAGTAGTCCAAAGTCACATCGTAATTGGTGTATCTGGGATTGCAGCAGAGGCAGTGTGGCTTGAGGGTCTGCATTATTTACCACAGTGCTCTGTTTTCTCTCCAAAGGAGTCTTGAACCTTAAATAGGTGCACAGTACATGAGGAGCATATAATCATTATTTGCTCACTGTGTTTGTCAAATATCACATATACAGGCTGGCATTTTTCATGCAACTCTCATAAGCTTGAAAATTGTTATTTAATAATAAAAATGTAAAAAATGAAAAAATGTCAGCAGAATAGAATAATGTAGGGTGGCACTAATAGTTTCCTAGGTAGTTTGACTGGGAAGAATTCTGAGTCTGTCTAGTTCAATCCCACTGTTTTCCAATTAGCAAACTGAGACAGATTTATAATTCCATTTAGAAAGTGACTTGAACTCATGCCTTCTTACATTAAGATTGGAATTTTCCCTTCAATATGCTTCCTTTTGGAATATGGATGCTGAGGTTCTATTTTTGAGTGCTCTTAGTACCTAGATAGCATTATGAGCGAAACCATGTCCTACAGTTATCTGCCTCTCTTTTAAATTTCTGTTTTCTCCTCCCTCACTACCTGGTTCACCTCAAAAGTTTTGAAAAAAAAATAGCAGCGCATGTGGTAGTTAGTTGGTGATACTTATGAGTTAGTTGAGTTCAGTTCAATATTAATTGCTGAAAATCAGGATAGTGTATGTAGATGTGGTAAGAATTGTGGTATAGGCAAGAATAAAGTGGAGAGATACACAGCTCCTTAGAAAGCAGACAATCAGAGATTAAGACTAAGTAATTGCTATAGGATACAGTTTACTAACTAATTTGTAGTTATGTGATACATTTCAAAGTCTAGTCTCTTGACATTTAATGAGAGATTTGTGAAGACTACACATCTTTGAGACATGAAGGACTGAAAGTTTAACAATGGAATGCTGTAGGACTGAGTGAGACATATCAGAAGATGTTATTTCTGGTGTTACACAGATCATATTATAAGGATATGACAACTACTACAAACTCACAGGGCTGAATTAATGCCAATTTACTTATTTCAATTTTAGCACTACCACTAGAGAGTAAGTTTCCTGAGAGCAGGAACCTGTTTATCATAGCTGATTTCTGTGCCAAGAAGTAACATATTTTATGTAAGGGGTTATTAAACATGTGAATAATTATAACTTTACTCTTTTCTACAGAATACCTACTAAGATTTGGAGATGGATTTTTGTTTTACCTGTTGGCCCAAAACCAATTTTGAGGAGAAATAGAATTGTCAAGGGAGGATCTATTGGGTCCATTGGAAGAGGAACTCAAGAGAGACTTACTAAATGTTCATTGAATGTAAACCACTGTTGAAGATATAATGATGATGTGCTGAGTAACATAATGGATGTCTTGATATTCCTGTTCACAATGTCATTCCAGGTCCTCTTCTGAGCTCCTAACTTTGAAACAAGCCTGAAAGAAGATTCAATGGGCCAGATTAGCAATGTTACAGAGTTTGTTCTCTTGGGTTTTGCTCAAGACACTGATGGGCGAAAAGCATTATTTGTAATGTTTTCATTTATATACGTTGTGACCATGGTGGGGAACCTGCTTATCCTGGTGACTATCATTGGCAGCCCCTCTTTGGGCTCCCCAATGTATTTCTTCCTTGCCCACTTGTCATTTATGGATGCTGCATATTCTACTGCCATTTCACCCAAATTGATGATAGACTTACTCTGTGATAAAAACACTATTTCCTTCCCAGCTTGCATGGGCCAGGTCTTCATAGAACACCTATTTGGTGGTTCTGAGGTCTTTCTTCTGGTGGTGATGGCGTATGATCGCTATGTGGCCATCTGTAAGCCCCTGCACTATTTGACCGTCATGAATCGACAGGTTTGCATCCTTCTGTTAGTGGTGGCCTGGTTTGGAGGTTTAGTTCATTCTGTGTTTCAGATTTCTGTTGTGTATAGTCTCCCTTTCTGTGGCCCCAATGTTATTGATCATTTCATCTGTGACATGTACCCATTATTGGAACTGGCATGCACTGACACCTACTTTATAGGCCTCACTGTGGTTTTCAATGGTGGAGCAATCTGTATGGTCATCTTCACCCTTCTACTAATCTCCTATGGAGTCATCCTAAACTCCCTTAAAACTTACAGTCGGGAAGGGAGGCGTAAATCACTGTCTACCTGCAGCTCACACACCACTGTGGTTATCCTCTTTTTTGTTCCCTGTATTTTCATGTATGTTAGACCTGTTTTAAGCTTTCCTATTCATAAATTTATGACTGTGTTTTATACAGTTATCACACCCATGTTGAATCCTTTAATATACACGTTGAGAAATTCAGAGATGAAAAATGCTATAGAAAATCTCTGGTGTAACAAATCAACTATAGAAAGAATAAGAATGTCCCTCTTCATGTAGTTACAGGGATATGTAAACAAGATCTTTCCAGTGAGAGTGTCAGACTTGTAATGGCACTTCAGGGATCCTAGATTGGGAAAGCAGGATTTAGGAGCTCCCAGTCCAGTAAACACCTTGTCCCATCATAACTTCAATTTGATATTCAGGATCTGAAATTGTATATGCAGAGTGAGTGTGGATGAAGCTCACTGGTGCAATTTCTAATGTACAGCTCTTTTATTCTGGTTCTTATCTATTTTCAGATCTATAAATTAGAGACAGGGTTTTTCTTTCACATTCTCAGCATACAATGGAGGAAGAGAGAAATAGATAACCAAAAACAGACACTCTTGTTCACAAGAAAAGGCTAAGATGCTACCTTCAGTGCAATTTCCTTAAAAACTTTGTAATATTTCTGTGTTTTTATTGGCATTTATAACATTATAAAAGAGTCATATTCACAAATACCTTTGCAACTGACTCTTGGGTTTGAGCTGAACGTCTGTGTGTGCAGTAGGATAATTCCTGTAAGAGTTTTAGGATTATTATTGTTTAATTGGTAGGGTTTATGAAACACACTTTAAATTCTTTCTGAAGTCTTCTCAAAGAATCTTCCATTGACAGCTTTCAGATGACATTTATTCTCACATTTAAAGCATGTGGCATTGGCTTTAATGTCAGAAGCTAGGTGAGCTTACTTACACTGAGAGTCTTTAGATCTTTGGACAGACTGGAAAGGGAAACTAGTTTGATTTTTGAAACCAGCAAGCTTGGGTTATTATTTTTCTTGTACATTCTGCTAGAAAATTCAAGATATTCTTTTAATTTATATTTTTACCTATGCCTTACGATATCACACACTTTTATAAGAAACAGGTTGAACTTTCAATATTGTACTTGAAAATTTTAGCTGGATCCACCTGTTCACTTAAGTACACTTTCTGTTTTCTACATTATTATATGTGGCAGTATCACCACCCCTTTCTGGCACTAGATAAGGAGTCACTTCTTTTTCCCTGGTTACTTTCTTTTCAGTCATCACTTACACTGTCCAGAGGACCCTTCTCAGTGTCATCTGGCATCTGATATTAAAGCCTATGTCACATGCTTTAAATTGTTGTTATGGAAGCACCACACTTACAGGTGCCACTCTTTATTCTGGTCATCCCTTCCCACACTGTACAAGGCTCCACAGTTTTTGTGACTTAAAACAATCACCATCTTATTTTATCTTCAAATTGTATGGGCCAGGAATTCAGGCAGTGGTTGGCTGAGTATTTCTTCTGCTTCATGTGGCATGGACTGAAGTCACTCAGTATTATTCAGCTGATAGCTGGGGCATCTGTAGGGTCCAGGAAAGCTTACTTCACATTTATAGCATCTTGGAGGTGATGACTGGAAGAGATCCACTGAGTCCTTCCTCCTATCCATTTAGATGAAGGACCACAAGATCTCTCCAAAAGGATAGTCAGGCTCTTTACATGGCAGTAAGAGATCCCCATGGTATAAAGTGGAAGATGGCAGGCCAATGAAGGGCTATGTCCAGAACTGGCACAATGTCACTTGCACCATCTTGTATTGCTCAGAGTGTTCACATGACCATCCAGATTTGAAATGTTACAGAAACAGATGATAACCCTTGAGGGGGAAGTGGAAAGTCACTTTGCAGAGCAGTGTGCAGAACAATTGTCTGCCTCTGAAAGGCACATGTTAGGAATTTTATTCAGATTGAGTTGAATCTATAAATCATCTTGGACTGAATTAATATCTTAACAATTGTGGGTTTTCCAATTCTTGAATACAATATATCTACTAGGTGTTTTAAATATTTATGTTTGAAAAGTTTTGTAGTTATTAGCATATGAGACTTACTCATCTGCTCCTAAGTATTTATGTGTTCAGATGCTTTCACAGGTTTTTAATTTAAAAAATTTCAATTATCATTGCTGTTAGTATATATAAATGCAATTGAATTTTTAAAGTGACATTTTAGACATATAAACATGCTAACCTTGCCACTTAATTCTTGTCATCTCTGGAGATTCTTTAGCATTTTGTCGGACACTATCATTTTCTCTACAAACAAGAATGTTCATTACTTGGAGGGATATAAGTGTGTTTAGCTTTTCAGTGTGTTTTGGGGTCATTTTCAGAAGATTGTGTTTTCCCTACATTTTATCCTTTTATCTAAGCTATCAAATTAATTAAAACGATGCTTTTCATAACAATTCTTTGCTATTCCTTTAAAGTCTAAAGGATCTATTTTAAGATGATTTAAAAAAATATCTGATACTGGTAATTTGAATTTCTTTTTTTTCCCATTTATTTATTGCATTTTAGGTTTTGGGGTACATGTGAAGAACATGAAAGATTGTTGCATAGGTACACACGTGGCAGTGTGATTTGCTGCATTCCTCCCCATCATCTACATCTGGCATCTCTCCCCTTGCTATCTCTCCCCAACTCCCCATTCTCCACTGTCCCCCCACTATTTCCCCCCAACTGGCCCCAGTGTGTAGTGTTCCCCTCCCTGTGTCCATGTGTTCTCATTGTTCAACACCCGCCTATGAGTGAGAACATGTGGTGTTTGATCTTCTGCTCTTCTGTCAGTTTGCTGAGAATTATGGTTTCCAGGTTCATGCATGTCCCTACAAAGGACACAAACTCATCGTTTTTGATGGCTGCATAATATTCCATGGTGTATATGTGACACATTTTCCCTGTCCAGTCTATCATCGATGGGCGTTTGGGTTGGTTCCAGGTCTTTGCTATTGTAAACAGTGAAGCAATGAACATTCATGTGCATGTGTCCTTGTAGTAGAACGATTTATAATCCTTTGGCTATATACCCAGTAATGGGATTGCTGGGTCAAATGGAATTTCTATTTCTAGGTCCTTGAGGAATCGCCACACTGTCTTCCACAATGGTTGAACTAATTTACATTCCCACCAACAGTGTAAAAGTGTTCCTATTTCTCCACATCCTCTCCAGCATCTGTTGTCTCCAGATTTTTTAATGATCGCCATTGTAACTGGCGTGAGATGGTATCTCAATGTGGTTTTGATTTGCATTTCTCTGATTACCAGTGATGATGAGCATTTTTTCATATGTTTGTTGGCCTCATGTATATCTTCTTTTGTAAAGTATCTGTTCATATCCTTTGCCCACTTTTGAATGGGCTTGTTTTTTTCTTGTAAATCTGTTTTAGTTCTTTGTAAATCCTGGATATCAGCCCTTTGTCAGATGGGTAAACTGCAAAATTTTTTTCCCATTCTGTTGGTTGCTGATTCACTCTAATGACTGTTTCTTTTGCTGTGCAGAAGCTGTGGAGTTTGATTAGGTCCCATTTGTCTATTTTGGCTTTTGTTGTCAATGCTTTTGGTGTTTTGGTCATGAAGTCCTTGTCTACACCTATGTCCTGAATGGCTTTGCCTAGATTTTCTTCTAGGGTTTTTATGGTGTTAGGTCTTATGTTTAAGTCTTTAATCCATCTGGAGTTAATTTTAGTGTAAGGTGTCAGGAAGGGGTCCAGTTTCTGCTTTCTGCACATGGCTAGCCAGTTTTCCCAACATCATTTATTGAACAGGGAATCCTTTCCCCATTGCTTGTTTTCGTCTGGTTTGTCAAAGATCAGATGGTTGTAGATATGTTGTGTTGCCTCCGAGACCTCTGTTCTGTTCCATTGGTCCATATCTCTGTTTTGGTACCAGTGCTATGCTGTTTTGATTACTGTAGCCTTGTAGTATAGTTTGAAGTCCGGTAGTGTGATGCCCCCCGCTTTGTTCTTTTTGCTTAGAATTGACTTGGCTATGCGGGCTCTCTTTTGGTTCCATATGAAGTTTAAGGTGATTTTTTCCAGTTCTGCGAAGAAGGTCATTGGTAGCTTGATGGGGATAGCATTGAATCTGTAAATTACTTTGGGCAGTATGGCCATTTTCACGATATTGATTCTTCCTAACCATGAACATGGAATGTTTCTCCATCTGTTTGTGTCCTCTCTTATTTCGTTGAGCAGTGGCTTGTAGTTCTCTTTGAAGAGGTCCTTTACATTCCTTGTTAGTTGTATTCCTAGGTATTTTATTCTCTTTGTGGCAATTGTGAATGGCAATTCGTTCTTGATTTGGCTCTCTTTAAGTCTTATTGGTGTATAGGAATGCATGTGATTTTTGCACATTGATTTTGTTTCCTGAGTCTTTGCTGAAGTTGCTTATCAGTTTCAGGAGGCTTGGGGCTGAGACGATGGGGTCTTCTAGATATACAATCATGTCATCTGCAAATAGAGACAGTTTGACTTCATCCTAAGAATTTCTAATTCTTTTTCTTTGTTGATAATTCTTGTTAGAAGTTTATCAATTTTATTATAAAAATACCGACTTCGGACTATTTTGATTTTCTTTTTTTTATGTTTCCCATTTTACTGATTTTTATTATGTTCTTCTTTTACTTACCTTGGATTTAATTTAATCTTCTTAAGGTGAGAGCTCAGATGGATGCTTAAACCTTTTAGTTTTAATATAGCACTTATAGCTATACATTTCCCTTTCAGTAGTATTTGAATTACAGCTCATACATTTTTATATGTTGTAGTTAGTGTTGAGTTCTAAATATTTTCTTGTTTATATTGTAACTTCTACTTTGATTCATAGATTATCAAAAACATATTGCCAATTTCCAAATATTTGAAGATTTTTCTCCATATGTGACCTACATATGTGATTATACAATAGCACTTTTAGACATTCTTTACCAATTGGGATACTCATTTTCTTTCTTTATATTTTATCATCTTTACCTTTTTATAGTTCTAATTTTTTCTTATGCAATTGTATTAACAGAAACATTTACTGCATTGTATCTTTCCTACAAAAAATACAATTCCTAGACATTGCATTAAATAACTTCAGTTTAGTTCTCCCATTCAAATGAGAAGGGGTTCATTGTCTTTTCCTAGCATTAGCTGACTTCATGTCACCTATGATAGAAACAGGAGTTTTATTCTCTGGAGACAGGATAATGTCGT